ATGATTTTTTTTTTTTTATGATTGTGTTTTGTTTATCTAAATTTATTTATTTGCTTATTTAGATATGTATAATTATAAGTTATGAAATTAATACTATTTTTTATTTTCACTCCTTTATTTAATTGTGGAAGCTAGGGTTAATTTTTTATAATGTAAGGGTAATACTATTTTTTTTTCAATTGTTCTATAGTATAATAATTATTTCTAATATTAACTACACTATAAATTCACACTAAGAAATTTATTAAAGTTACACACTTTTAAAAGTATATAGCAAACATTCTTCAACTTATTAAGCGGATTTTTTAAATAACTAATTAATTTTAATGACATAGCAAAACCCGCAATCGGTAGGGGTGGGCACGGTTCGGTTAACCGAACTTTTTGAGGTATTTGCTAACCGAACCGAACCGAGCAAATATTCGAACTCGCTAACCGAAACCGAACCGAAAATCTCGGTTAACCGAATTTTCTGTTAACCGAAAAAAATCCTACTATTTGCGAATTAACCGAACCGAACCGAACCGAGCGAACCTAACACAAATCTGCTTGTTCGCAAATAATAAACCGAACCGAACCGAACCGAAAACATTAATATAAATATAATATATAATATATAATATAATATAATATATATTTTAATAAAATATATATTTTATAATATATATAATATAATATATATTTTATAAATTTTAATATAATATACGGTTCGGCTCGGTTAACCGGGGTAAAAAAATCTTAAAAACCGTAATCGAACCGAACCGAGCAAATACTTCATTTGAGGTATTTGGAACCGAACCGAGTCCCCCGGTTAACCAAAAATTCGGTTCGATTTCGATTCGGATCTACGATTCAGCGGTTCGGTTCGAATTTTTTGCCCAGCCCTAGCAGTCGGTATATACACTATTTACATTTGTAAAAGTTACATTAATTATTTAATATGTTTTATGCATTCTATATGGTGATTTAATTATTCTGCAATTATTCTGCCAGTCAGGGCCACGGCTAGACTGGGCTCACCAGGCCACGGCTAGCCTGGGCTGGGGGCTGAAGGTTAGTTGAACCCTCATCAACGCACACTACAACACGCACTTAGATTGAATTATCAAATTCAGTTGGATAGCTTTTCTTATTGTATTGATACTCATTTTTGTAACACCATTCATGTTCGATTTTACCTTGTATGAGAACGAGTAAACTCCATATAAATTAAGTTGGCGTAACATAAAAAGAGAGACAGAGGGAGAGAAACTATAACATAAAGAACAAAACGACAACATAAAATATTCTTAATCACCTACTAAAATATCAGTAGGTAATTAAGAATATCTAAAATATAATCATCTATTAATATATAATAAGGATTAACTTAATTCACTTTTAGTAATCTTTTCCCGCCAAATTCATTAATTATTGTCTAAAATTAGTAACTTAACAAACTTTCATTAATTAAATATTGTAATATGGAATAGATGTTTTTTCCGATTAGAATCTCTATAAATATGGAATAGATGCTTTTCCGATTAGAATCTCTATAAATATTTACTAAACAAACTTTCTATTATATATAATAGATGTTTTTTCCAATTAGAATCTCTACAATATGGAATTTAGAATCTATTCTGTAAAAAAATAATTAAATCTATACTTATATAAAAAGTTATCTTACTTACTATGATTTGTAATAAGAAAAGTCAAAGGTAATTAATGTATTATATTTTTATTAAGTATTTTATTTAATTATTTATTTAATTATTTTATCCCATAACACCTTTTCACTACAACTTATTATGATTTTCCTATTGTGATTAAAAATCAGATTTTACGTCTAAAATCTTGTGAAATTATTATTATTATTTTTTTAAAACACATATTATTTATTAAAAAATTATATATATATATCTAAATATATATATACATTATACACATCACAGTACCATGATAGATGATTGAACATGATTTAAATTTCAAGTGAACAAAATGTCAATGATATAAATTTGAATACGCCTATGTGTTTGACCAAATGTCTGGATGATTTAAAATTGAGCCCATCAAAAACTATTTAATTGGAACACACTAGAAATTTTATGTACTTTTTTATTATAAATATATTAAAAGTGGTATTTAATGGTTGTTATATAAATCATTTTAATATATTTGTAATGAATAAAAGTTTGAATGAATAATTTATAACGTTATTCATTATGTTTGCGACTTATGATACACGAACACATAACCACATACATATTTGCCAGAAGGCAGCTTAATAATTTTCATAGATTGTTCAAAACTGTAATGAATTAACAAATCGTGAATAAAAAAAATCATGAAAATGTTTCATACACTGATAAAACGTTACAAACTGATAAAGACTAAAAAATAATATGAAAATTTTTATTTTTGGTTAGATAAACAACATTGATCCAACAAGTTCATCTTTTCTGTTTGGTCAAAATAATAATCAAACTTTATTAATCAATAATCAAAATATTTGGTCAAATTAATAATCAAACTTTATAAATCATTAGCAAATGAAAATCAATTTTAATTGAATGTAGAGTATGTTGTAAATTGAACGTACATTATGTTGTAAATCAATTCACACGGTCAAATTTGTGATAATTAAAAGTAACAAAATAAAAAAAAAATCAAAAAGTTTAGATCACATGTGACATGCATCTCGCTCCGAGGAAACCTTTATCATAATTATAGCAGAATGATGGCTGCATCTAAATTTTTAATCTAATAAATGTGTAGAAAAATATGATGGATAAAAACCTCATCATAACGAGAAAACCTTATCTTATAGCAGAATATTAGCTGCATCTAATAGTTTTTTTTTTTATTTGTCAGCATTCTAGCTATACTAAGTAAATAATTATATCATTAAGAATATATTATTATTATATTATTAAATCATAAAAAGATATTAAATCTATATTGTAAAAGAAATCATATAATTTTATAAAAAATTTACGGCACTATTTAATAATATTCTTTTTTATTATATAATATATAAAATAGTAATTAAATATTATATGGTGAGCAAAATAAATAAAATTGTTACTTTCTCTTATATCAATGGATAAATTTATATGCTAAAATTATATTTTTATTAGTATAAATGTTTTAATGAGATAATATATTAATTATTTTACAAGCTAGCCATAACATGCTCATATTTAATGTTCTGGCTAAAAAAACAACGTTGGCTAAAAGATGTAGAAAAAAGCTTATGACTCTATTGTTTTTTTGGCTTAATGTTGATTAAAAGAGGTAGAAAATAGATAATAACTCTATTATTTTTTAGACTTGAACTGAAAAGACTGTGAAATAACTCATTTAATATCTATGTCCCGTGCATCGTACGGGATACGTACTAGTTGTTGTAAAATATGAACATATATTTGGTAGGTATAGATATAAGAACAAAATTAAACTTTATATCTTCATGAGTATCTTGTTTAATTACTATACCTTTGCTCTAATCTAATGAAGTGAAAGAGGATAAATCTATATATATATAAAAGTGAAGCAGCTGAAATTTTCCCGCCTAAAGTATTGTA